AGAAGTAATATTCTGTTTTCTATGGGGGGATTCAAAACAAATAGGCGGTGGACATGTTATAGTTCCTTCAAATCAAGGCAAATCAAGTATTGTAAAACACATGCTCTCTGTTGATTGGAAGTTTTGGAAGTCATATCTTAGAAAAGAAACTTCTAGATCCATAACTATATGCATGCTTGGGAGAATTGCAGGTAATTGTTCACTAACATAATTCTGTAAGAGAGGGCTAATTTTTCATAAAATCTTCTGTCGAAGTAACAATTCCAATAGGTTCAATTTTACAGTACATAGTAACCTCGTCTGGATTATGTATGGCAGCATTGAGAGAGATGTTTAAAGCTCAACCAGGAAGTTACTCCTACGACATTTCATCTGGAGAGCTAACAATAGATATTCAACTACCTCTTACTGATAAGGAGAAGAGAAAAAAAGAAGTTTCTCCAGAAAGGATTGAAAAAGAAATTGAGAAACATCCATCAGGCCGCTCGAGCCTAGTCGGGTTGAATGATGTGGGGGATGAGTTTTTCGATGTTCCCGAACCATCCGACGACGAACAGTCAGATCACGGATGGTCTTCTAGTTCTAGTCCAGATTATCACTCGGTAATCGTTTCTCTACTCTGTTCAAACAAACTTCGTTTAATCTTCTGATCTATTCATTCTTTTCTTATCCTATTCTTCATTCAACTCTCTCATCAGGATACATGTCCACAGAAATCATCATCTGCTGCAAATTTTGTCAAAAAATTGCAGGATCTAGCAGGTTTGTGACCATTGATGTAAATATAGATAGACTTCCTTGCATGGATTCCATGAATGGCCTGTGTCAAACGCAAAATTAATTCAAAATTTCAGTTCAGAAGAAAGGTTATGTTGAATTGCAAGAAATAGCCTGGGAAGAGGGCGAGTCGGGCTGTTATGGATCCACTCTTCCTAAAGATGCAAGTTACAGTATGGCCTGCAGCTGGGCTGCTGCTGATACCTCCTCATTCTTGATCCGAGGAGAGAACTATCTGGAAGACCATCAAAAGGTCGTTCTCTCTTCATCTTGTCTTATCTAGCATGACATAATAATTAAATGCTTTTTTCGTTGTTTTCTTCTTCAAAAATGCCTTGGTCTAATTTCTAATTCTTATTATTTGTCACTTCTTTTCCCAAATCTCAACTGTTTTTAGTGTTGTTATCACTTTTTTTGGAAACCAGAAAATCTTCATTTTTTTAAAGGATCAAATTATCAATCAAAATATTAGAAATTTTGCAGCTATGTTCCCGAACATTACAAGTAATTACTCAACTCATTCAAAAAAGAGCAATTGACTTCTCTTTTACAGCTCAACTTTCTTCTTCAATAAGTATATATGAGTGATGTATTTGTAAGGTTACCAATATAAAGTTTCAGTTGTAGAATAGCTAATAGTTTGAGAGGTATTTGTCGTTTTTCTCTTTTGTTTTTCATGTGATGTGAAGCTTATCATTTCTAATTGCTTTTTTGTTCTTGTTTTATTTTCAGGTCACAGCGAAGGGCACATTGGCGCAGATGATTGGCGCAGATTGGCTACAATCTGATATTCGCGAAGATGATCTTGCAGGTCGCCCCGGAAGCATCATACAGGTATTCACCCTAGTCATACATCTTTTCAGAACTATACATTTTGCCAGATTCATTTTAATTGACTTGAAGACAAAAATATGATATACTATCTACTACGTATGTTTTTGTTTACGGTTATGATATATGTTTCTAACACACAAGTTTTGCATGATTTATAGAAATATGCCGCCCTGGATCGACCAGAATTCTTCTTTGTGATCAACATTCAGGTAAATTTTGTTCCGTTTCTGATAAGTCTTGTCCATGTGGACCTCGGAAAATTCTAGGGAGAAAAGTATAAAAGAAAACAACAAGGTAATACTCCGTACAATATAGATGAAAATAAAATATGCTTCAAGTGCAACAATTTAGTTTCGCGCGCTATCTGATCAAACTCGTTTTATTTGTTTATCTTTTTATGTAAAGACAGAAATATCAGTTTATATAATGGTTTTTCTTTCCAAATATTTATACATTATTTCTATTTGTAATAGATAATAATATGACTGTTTCAATTCATTTTCCAAAAAAAAAACTCAAATTGTAAGTTTATGCCCACCTTTTTTTGCCCCCCATCAACTTCCCATTTGTCGCTTTCGCTGCCTAAATTTTATCTGAAATATCTGCCAAAAATAATTGTCACAATTTCTCTCTTGTCATGTAATGTAGTGTCACCATTAGTAATATAAAAATGACATATTTATTCTATTTCATAACAACACTAAGAAACAAATGTATTTTTCCTTAACTTTTCCTTTAGTACGGAGTAATATTTATATCAAAGTCTCTTGTAATAAAATGACTTCCTGATCATTTTTGCTTTCCCTAGCATTTTCCTGTTAGTCAAAATTCATGTAAATCTGCATGCATTAATTAGATAAATAGTAGTAAAAGAAATTAAGAAAATACTTCTATCAACCGAGCCCAACAAAAGCATTGTCTCCTTAAGACGTTTTTGCCCGACACACGTAGCAAGCGTCTCCCAGGATAGAACGGTTCTTCGCTCCCAACGGGATTCCGGCGAACTCAAAGATGCAACGAAGGAAGAGAGAATTTGAGGAATTGTTTTTGAATTTTCGGATATATCAAAAATGAAGACAAGGCGGGTATTTATAGAACTCTGGCCAGGAGTCTCTTAACCCAAAAGACACCTTTTGAAAGAAAGTTCATGACCTTTCTTTTAAAACGAATGGTTGTGTCTTTTATTTGGTTTTATCCGAAAACGTAGCAAAATTAAATCTTCCTATCTTAAGCCCGATTGTTGACTCGTCAAAGACCCGAACCCGACCGACTGACAGCGGCAGTGTATGCGTGTTAAGTAAAATTTCACGCTTATCTTTCGGGGAATAATTTCTCATTCATTTCAAAATGATTTTTACAAATAATATTAATGACCATAATATTAATTTGTAAAACCATTTTTCCAACAATCCCCCCACATGAATGGGAAATTGGCTTAAAGACAGGAAACATATTGGAATTTGACATGGGAAGATGGGAACTCTGCATAGGGTTAGGTAGTCGTGAAACTTTGAACCTACCTTAGTGTATATCCATCGGATTTACTGGACAATCGGTAGCACTTTGCTTTGAACCGTCAGCCATAGTGTAAACCTAGACAATGAATAACACACAGAGCCCCGAGTGCATCTTTGGTTCTCATGTTTGTGTTCGTTTCGGCCTTGAACACCTCCTGGTTCAGCTAGTGTTTTTGAGAATATATCGTGCACCGGAGAATTTATCTCGTGCCATAGACTCTCATAGAAGCGGCCTTCTTCCACCAGCATAGGTGATCTCTATGGAAGGTATCATGCCATACCTTACTTGAACGTATCAAGATATAGAGATCATTAAAAGCGTAACTTACCCTAAGTGCTCATGACATGAGTGTACTATATCTTGGCTAGTACCGCCCGAGCCAGTCCACAATTGTGTTTTCCCTTTGAACCTAATTATGAGGCACTCTCAATAATAGGTAGGGTTTCCCCATGGACTTTTTATTGGATCATTGGCCATAGGCCCATCGCTCTCCTTGACGTCTCGACCAACTCTTTCGGAAGAGGTTTGGTTAGCGGATCCGCAATATTTTCTTTCGACTTAACATAGTCAAGAGAGATGATCCCATTTTTTATTAGTTTTCTAACGGTATTATGTCTACGACGGATGTGTCTAGACTTACCGTTATAAACTGCATTCCTTGCCCTTCCAATTGCAGCTTGACTATCACAATGAATGGATATTGGAGGGACAGGCTTTTCCCAACAAGGAAGATCTTCCAAAAACTCTCTCAGCCATTCAGCTTCTTCACCAGCCTTATCTAAGGCAATGAATTCAGCTTCCATGGTTGATCTTGCAATACATGTTTGTTTGGAAGATTTCCACGACACAGCACCACTTCCAAGGGTAAACACATATCCACTTGTTGATTTTGTATCCTTGGAATCAGATATCCAATTTGCATCGGTATATCCCTCTAGCACGGCTGGATATTTTTTAAAATGTAAACCATAGTCTTTGGTGTACATCAAATACCCAAGCAGCCTTATAAGTGCTTTCCAGTGTTCTCTACCGGGATTTACTGAAAACCGGCTTAGCTTATTCACAGCTTGAGCTATATCGGGTCGTGTTCCATTCAAGACATATGTTAAACATCCTATGACCCGAGGATAGTCATCTTGTGACACACTTTCTCCTCTATTTTTATTGAGGTGAACACTGGAATCAAAAGGACTTCTCATGGGTTTGATATCATACTTCTTGAATCTCTCAAGCATTTTCTCAATGTAGTGTGATTGAGATAATATCAACCCTTCAGGTGTTCTGATGATTTTAATTCCTAGAATCACATCAGCAACACCGAGATCCTTCATTTCAAATCTCCTGGCCAACATACCTTTGGTAGCCTTTATCAAATTACTGTTACTACCAAAAATGAGCATATCATCTACGTATAGACAGACTATGACGTAGTCATTTTGATTGCCTTTCACGTACACGCACTTGTCAGCCTCGTTGATCTTAAATCCATTTGATAGCATTACACTGTCAAATTTATCATGCCATTGTTTGGGGGCTTGTTTTAATCCATAAAGAGATTTTACTAAGCGACAAACCTTTCTTTCTTGTCCGGGGACAATAAAACCTTCAGGTTGTTGCATGTAAATCTCTTCCTCTAAGTCACCGTTCAAGAATGCAGTTTTTACATCCATTTGATGGATTTCAAAACCCTTCAATGCAGCTATTGCCAATAGCATTCGAATTGAAGTTATTCTTGTAACTGGTGAATAAACATCAAAGTAATCAAACTCCCCTTTTTGGTTGTATCCTTTGGCAACCAATCGAGCTTTGTATTTCTCAATTGTTCCATCAGTTCTTCTTTTCTTTTTGAAGATCCATTTACATCCTAGAGGTTTAGATCCAGGAGGCAAATCTACCACTTTCCAAACGTGGTTAGACATGATGGAATCAATCTCGCTTTTGATAGCCTCTTGCCATTGTGCAGCGTCTGGTGAAGACATGGCTTCCTTATAAGTTTGAGGCTCATTATCTAATAGGTACACAACAAAATCGGGTCCAAAATTCTTAGATTTTCTAGCCCTTTTGTTGCGTCCCATTTCACATTCTTCCGCCACTTCATTATTATCATTTATAGAATCAAAATATCTCTTATGTGAATTGGTTTCTTCAACATGGGTTGGAATGAAAATATCCATGTCGGAGGAGACAACTTCACAATCTCCCTTAAAAGGGAATACATTCTCAAAGAATGTAGGATCTCTAGATTCTATAAAAGTATTGTCCACTACGTCCTCATTATATGATTTGTGGACAAGGAAACGATATGCACTACTATTTTGTGCATATCCAACAAAGACACAATCAATGGTCTTTGGTCCAAGCTTAGTTCTTTTAGGTTTAGGAATAGCTACTTTCGCTAGACATCCCCACACCCTCAAGTAATTGAAACTTGGTTTTTTCCCTTTCCATAACTCATATGGAATCTTGTGTGTTTTCTTGTGGGGCATTCTATTTAGAATGTAGTTGGCGGCTAAGACAGCATCCCCCCACAAGTTGTTCGGAGCACGAGAGCTAACTAACATGGCATTGACCATGTCCTTTAACGTTCTATTTTTCCTCTCGGCGATTCCATTAGATTGAGGTGTATAAGGAGGACTAGTTTGATGAATTATTCCACTTTCCGAGCAAATTGGCTCAAAGGGATATTCATATTCACCACCCCTATCACTCCTTAACACTTTAATCCTCCTCCCAAGTTGATTTTCAACTTCAGCTTTATAATGCTTAAAAGAATTAACAGCTTCATCTTTGCTATGTAGCAAATACAGATAGCAATATCTTGTGCTATCATCAATGAAGGTAATGAAATACCTTTTCCCTCCTCTAGTTCCTTCATACTTGAGATCACAAAGATCTGTGTGTATGAGATCTAGTGGTTCAGTTTCTCTAGTACTAGAGTGAAAAGGTTTTCTAGCCATTTTTGCTTCAACACAAATTTCACACTTGTGATTAGGATCAATATGACATTTAGGAAGCAATTCTAAATGCATTAATCTACGCAAAGTATCATAATTGACATGTCCTAATCTAGCGTGCCAAATAGAAGAAGACTCAACCAAGTAAGAAGAACCCACTTTATTATTATCAACAAGTTTTGGTACAATGGTAAGTACATTCATTTTGAAGAGACCATCATTGAGATAGCCCTTCCCTACAAACACATCGTTCTTTGTAAGTACAAATTTATCAGCCATAAAGACAAGCTTGAAACCATTTTTGCTAAGGAGGGAGTCCGAAACCAGATTCTTGCGTATGTCAGGGACATGTAGCACATCGTTCAAAGTTAGAGTTTTCCCACTCGTCATTTTGAGGACAACTTTGCCGTGACCTTCTGCTTTGGATGTAGAAGAGTTACCCATAAATAGTTGTTCCTCGTTATCAACAGGTTGATAATCGGTGAACATCCACTTGTTAGCACATATATGTCGGGTAGCTCCAGTGTCAATGCACCATTCTTTAGTGTTTCCCACTAAATTGCATTGAGATATCACAACACATAGGTTCATTTCACCCATGTCATCAGAGAGGTCGTCCACAATATTGACTTGTCCGGTCTTCTTTTTCTTAGGAGCACGACAGTCCTTGGCACGGTGACCGGGCTTGCCACAATTATAGCACTTTCCTTTGAACTTCTTTGACGAAGGTTTCCCTCCACTTGTTCCTTCGTCATTGTGCTTTCTCTTCTTCCCTTTCTTGGATCCCGCTTCCACCATGTTTGCTTTAGCTTCCATGGAATTAGATCGTCCAGCCTTATGCTCGGATTTGCGGTTATCCTCCTCTATCCTTAAATGAACAATGAGCTCCTCTAGGGACATTTCCTTACGCTTATGCTTCAAGTAATTCTCGAAGTCTCTCCATTTGGGAGGTAATTTTTCAATTATCACCGCCACTTGGAAGGACTCACTAAGGGACATACCCTCAGCGTGAATTTCATGAAGGATAAGTTGGAACTCTTCAACTTGAGAAACAACCGATTTGTGATCAACCATTTTAAAGTCCAAGAAATGCCCGAAAATAAATTTCTTTTTTCCGGCATCCTCGGTCTTGTATTTTTTCTCAAGTGATCCCCACAATTCTTTTGCCGTCTTTATATCGGCATACACGGAGTACAAGGAGTCATCGAGTCTGTTTAAGAGATAATTTCTACACAAGAAATCTGAGTACTTCCACGCATCCACCGCGGCTACTTTCTCCTTATCACCTCGCCTTCCTCTAAAACAGGTTGGCTTTCGGAGAGACACTTAGCCAAATTCAACGTTGTTAAATAAAACAGCATTTTCTGTTGCCAACGTTTGAAATCATGACCATTGAATTTGCTAGGTTTTTCCCCGTGAGAAGAACTGATCGGGATAGTAGCGAGCGGGGATGATTTCGGAAAAGTGATGTTACTTTCGTCTCCCATTCTGTTTACATAAAACAGACAGTTGCGAAGGATTACAACAATTTTTTTTTTAAACTAAATAATATATATACACAAAGTATATGAAGATACACAGTTGTACGTAAGTACTATATATGGAGTAAGAATAGTGAACAGACGGTGATAATGAGATTATAGAAATATATACCGAAGGCAAAACTCTTGCAACCGTTCAAAACTTAAGAAATCAAGTAATGATTATGTAAAGACTAACAGCCATGCAATTTACATTTACCAGTGAAGCATGTAAATATGTGATTCGTACATGCATAAACCAAAAATTAGAAGCAAATTCATATATTACGTGAAATGACGCGACTAATGGGAAAAATTATAGCAACCTTTCACAATATGGCAGTTAAAACATACACATGCAGTTAGACTAAATACACGTACTATTACATGCGAACGATGAACGGATGTAACAGTTTGAAAAAAAAATGCATATAGACAAATATATGAGACACGTTAACGTCTAATTTATGTTGTAATACATGAAATTGGTCAAATTAATCAAAGTCAAACTACATGCACTCACAAACTTTAAATAAATAAAGTGGACTACGTAGAAGCAGATGCAAATACGAAATTAAAGCACTATACCAGACAATTGAAAAAAATAAAGCCAATAATAACATACATGCACAGATGGTAGCAGGTAGTAATATATACACGAACAGAAAAGTTATTAAACGTTGTTCACACGGCAGAAAACAAACAAGCAGATTTCACACAATGAAAAACGTCTTAAGCTTGTTAGTCAAAATTCATGTAAATCTGCATGCATTAATTAGATAAATAGTAGTAAAAGAAAATACTTGTATCAACCGAGCCCAACAAAAGCGTTGTCTCCTTAAGACGTTTTTGCCCGACACACGTAGCAAGCGTCTCCCAGGATAGAACGGTTCTTCGCTCCCAACGGGATTCCGGCGAACTCAAAGATGCAACGAAGGAAGAGAGAATTTGAGGAATTGTTTTTGAATTTTCGGATATATCAAAAATGAAGACAAGGCGGGTATTTATAGAGCTCTGGCCAGGAGTCTCTTAACCCAAAAGACACCTTTTAAAAGAAAGTTCATGACCTTTCTTTTAAAACGAATGGTTGTGTCTTTTATTTGGTTTTATCCGAAAACGTAGCAAAATTAAATCTTCCTATCTTAAGCCCGATTGTTGACTCGTCAAAGACCCGAACCCGACCGACTGACAGCGGCAGTGTATGCGTGTTAAGTAAAATTTCACGCTTATCTTTCGGGGAATAATTTCTCATTCATTTCAAAATGATTTTTACAAATAATATTAATGACCATAATATTAATTTGTAAAACCATTTTTCCAAGCATTCATAAATACCCTTAAGTAGAGAGTAGCATGAGTTGCGACTTGGGAGTGTATACTAATGAAAGTTTTATATGGAATCTAATTAGATTCCAGGAACAACAACATATAACCTTGCCCTATATTATATGCTGAAAACACCTCTAAAAGAGAATCCTTTACTCGAGCGCTTTGTCAATGGAGATGATGCTTTTAGGAATTCAAGATTCAAGCTCATTCCATACATCTCTAAGGTTAGCCATCATTTTCAACAAATGTAATAGTAGTCTAATCATTCATTCCACTGATATCCATTTTGATATTCATATAACCTAATTACTGGCTATGTTTCTCCAGGGATCATGGATAGTGAAACAGAGTGTGGGCAAGAAGTCGTGTTTGATTGGTCAAGCGCTTGATGTGCATCATTGTCGTGGCAAGAACTACTTGGAGGTAATTGCATTTATATATGCTCTTTTTATCAAATTATATTTATTTTCTTTGTTTGATTAACGTTTAAGAAGATGATTTTCTTTGTGTGATGACTTGACATTCTTTTCAATAATAAGGTTTCCTAATTAACACCAAAATGTTTCTTGGTTCTTAGCTTGATGTTGATGTTGGATCTTCCACAGTTGCAAGAGGTGTTGTCAATCTTGTTTTAGGTTATTTGAACAACCTTGTAATAGAAATGGCCTTCTTAGTACAGGTAATTTAACCACAAATTCAAGATTTTTTATTTGGGTTCATTTTCATTAAGAAAAGAGCCAATTCATGATCATGTCTAAAATCGAACATGAATTGCAGGCGGACACACCAGAAGATCTTCCGGAACAACTTCTGGGAACGTGTCGACTTAACCATTTAGATGCATCCAAAGCAGTTCATACTCACACCATTAGCTAATATAAGACGACGATGATTGATAGATGCAGGGCCGGTCCTGGGGCATGGGCAGGAGGGGCATGCGCCCAGGGCCCTTTGCTCCAGTAGGGCCCATAAATTTCTCAAACATATATGTGTGTAAATAAATATTTTAATTGTATATACATCCTAAATCTATAAAAAAAATAAAAAAAAAAATAAAAATTATATTTTTAGATACTTCTAATTTGTTACTTATCATCTACACGATACAAGTCTATAATTTAGAAACATCCACATTAGCATTCGTTGGGAACATATTTCACCATTTCTTTTGAATCATTACGGATTATTACATTAAATTTAATCTTTTAATGACTTAGTGTACATGTCTTATGTATATCAAGAATTTATTGATGTATTTCACAAATTTCCTTCAACTCTCTCTTTAGTGAAAGATTGAACTTTAGTGTCCATAATTTAGAAACTTAGAATTTATTTTTGTCTAGTGAATATGTGGTTTAAAATATGATAAAGTTACTCCTTATACAAGATATAACTTTCACAACTTTCTTTAATTCAAAAATTTTAGGGAAAATGGAAACTAATAATCCAACCTTTTAGCGATCTTCTTATAATAGTCCCACCTTTTCGTTATTCAAGAATAATCCAACCTTTGCACCCCATCTTCATTCGCTGGTCCCTGATCGATTAATGACCTGCTATTCCAAGTTATTTTCTTATCTTTGCAAAATATTATCTTTGTAAAAGATGAAATTTATGGTATAATGGTTTGCAAAGATAATAAAATAACTTGGAATAGGAGGTCATCAACCGGTCAGGGACCAGTGAATGAAGATGAGGTGCAAAGGTTGGATTATTCATGAATAACGAAAAGGTGGGACTATTGTAAGAAGACCGTTAAAAGGTTGGATTATTAGTTTCCATTTTCCCTAAATTTTATTGTGCCTAATATATAGTTGCAATACTTGTTTCACTCGGCTGTTAGGTACATTGTATCATCAAATGTCACTTATCAATACCCTCTATATATATATTTTCTAACCATGTGCTTTGTTCGTTTTTTGATGTGTTATACTAGTACTTTGACGGTAATATTATATAATTTTAAATTATACTAGTAGATTTTCATAGCAAAAGGACATTATAAACATTCCCGCACTATCCTTGAGGCCCAGCCTATTTGTATTGTCCTGGGCCCATAAAATGTCAGGACCGGGCCTGGATAGATGTTAGTCTTCCGGGAAGGACTAACATGAGAGTGCAAATGTGTTAGTTTGGTGAATATTTTCTCTAATTAATTGATCAATGTGTGAAGTCATAATGTGTTGTCCTAATTAATTATTGCATTCTTCATTGTATAACATCCATTAATAAAAAACCTTTCCCTTCCAGGATTTGTAAACACAAAGTTATGAAGAATGTGGATATATTAGTGACGTAGTTGTCTCACATCCATGAGGAATTCTTTTTTTTTTTTTTTTTGTTTTTTTTGCAAACTCCATGAGGATTTCTTTTCCTTTGTTAATGAAATATTTTTGTGGAAAAAGTATGATTAGTGAAAATTTTCACATTTTTCTATGCATCCAAATATTACTCATAAATATTTTATGGAATAAGTATGATTAGTGATATTAATAATAACTAATGAGGGGCATTTGGCATTAATTTGTTGTTGATTCTTGTTTAAATGTAGAATATGATCTGGATTTTAGCTGTATAAAAATGATTCTCTTTTTATCATATGATATTTGTATAGTTTTTTAATCCTTGTACATAATAGTAGTACTTTGGAAGTTCACATTTCCCCGCACAACTTCCATGCTTAAAAGCTAACATACCTACCCTTGGGTATCACTATTTCTTTATTAGATTTAAAATTTTCCTATTTTAAAACATTCATTAGTCCGTGTCCATAAATCTACACTTATCTAAAGGTAACTTTAGCAAAATTTAAAACATGGATAGTTTTACTTCAACTACCAAAATTTTAGAAGTTATACATAAATCTTATTGTTCAAGTAGTTGTCTTAACGGATGTGCACCGAACATTATATTAAGAGCACATTTGGTATCAATATATTTGCTTAAATTGCCTGAATTTGCTGAAATTGTTCAATCGGAAATTACATTTTCCGTCAAAATATAGAGCAGGCAATTCATGGTGATGTGTAGTTTTCTCGCACTAATAAAAATGTAGTAATATAGGGTTTAAAGTACGAGTATCGTCTCCACTAGACGGAAAAAGGGAATCAAGAATTAAATAAATTCAGCGATTAAAAAATAAAAATAAATACAATTGTGCGAGATTGGATTTTTGGAAATAAACTAATGCAATAAAGCAATTAAACTACTGGGTTCTTTCTAATTAATGACAGAAGAGAACAGGGATTGATTCCGGGGTAATCATATTTCGGGGCTGATCAGGCTTAATCTCATGAAAATTATTTAATTGAACAACGCTATTCAATACTAAGTTCTAAACCGCTCTCGTAGCATAGAGTACAATAATTTAGGGAATCAGGCTGATCTCTCATGCGACATGATCCTAAATTATTGCCAAAACAAGCGAGCGTACGGGCCCTAGCTAATCGTTAAGGTGTCCTAGAATAAATTATATTTATCTTAATTTATTTTACATACAATTGTAATTCTAGCGGCCGTTCTAGGTTACAAGAGATATCAATTAAATCATTCATACACAAATTAAATAAAGATTCATGCAATTTAAACCATCAAGAAACTAGCCATACATCATGATTAACCCTTTCATCAATCCCAAATCTCTAACTAAAACTACGTACTCACAACTCATAATTGAAGAATCAACAGAATTGAGATGAAAAGAATTAATTGTCATTAATTAAAAAGATGGAACTTATAAAAAAATCCCACAATCTTGAAGAAAAAGGTTGAAAAAGCTCTCATCGAAACAGGGTTTATCTCTCTAAGCTCCGTAACGTAAAACAAGCAAACCAGGGCCCTTTAAATAGAAAAGTGGAAAAGTGGACGAAAATGGACCGCATGATCGTCCGCACGGCGTGAGGTTCACCGAGCGGCCGCATGAAAAAAATGTTCGTCTCGTAAAAAACTCCGCCCACACGGTGTGTAGGCACCCGCACGGTCCGACCATGCGGGCACACCTGAGGGGTGTTTCTGGACTATGGCACGTGCGATGCAGACTTTTTGACTTCTAGCTCTCAGAATCACCCATGGGCGCGTGCGGAAATGACCCGGGGGGGGGGGGGGCACGGCGGGCACGGATGTCTCTTGAACCATACTCTTGCTCTTTTCTTCCCTGTTTGCTCCCGATCGATCATATTTTCAATCTTTGACCTTTCTAGCCTCGAAGCATACCTCTAAATCATCCCGTGGACCTCCGATGCCTCTTGCCATCTCTCGAACACATCCCGAATCTTCTCAACTTAAGCTCAACCGCCGATGCCGGGTCCGAAATCCTTCTTCTCTTCAACGAATGCAAACCAAACCCGGTAAACCGTGACTTGAGCTAAATAAACGCTTTGTGACGCAAATAAATTAGGAAAAGTGACAAAACTCAATCGCAACAAGCATCAAATGCGTGTTGAAATACGAACTTATCACATGGCCAAGATCAGCTTTTATATCTTGAATATTACTACGTATATTAAGAGGTAAAACTACTCATTGTAGATAAATATAGTAGTTAGAGGACTAAATATGTAAGTGTGTCAAGTTGTAGGTCAAAAAAGGAAATATACATAAGTTACAAGACTATATTTAC